AGAGCTCATCTGCAAATTCCTCATGAGGTATTAGGTGTTTACAAAGCTTTTGGTTTACAGGGTTGCTACCGCCACTTGAACAGTCCATTCCTAAAACGCTACTATTACTACTGCAAATTCTGCTAATGCTACTTCTCCTGCTGCTAAAACTAACTGTACTAATGCTAAATGTACTAATACTTGTACTAATAATAAATGGAATGGTGAATGGACTGTACTTAAATAGCACCGTTCTAGCTAATCAAAATACTCAAAGCACTTTAGAACACAATCTGTGTCCTCATTTACCACCACACACACTTTCATACAGCACTCTACTACATCTCTACAAAGCTAATCTGAATCAGTGCATTACATCACACTCATACACCGATGGGACACACATCAGAGGCAATGAGGGGTTCAGTGTCTTGCCCAGGGACACTTCTACATGTGACTGCTGGTGGACTCAAACTCCCAACTCTCCCAATGGAGGACAACTGCTGTAACTACGCATCCAAGTTGCTCCTAATGCATATTTCCCAATAGACCGAACTGGAAAGTATCCCTACTGGAAAACCATCATGACAGTAAGATACTTACTTGCAACCAGTGTTAGCTGTGCACAGAGTTCCAAGAGATTTTTGGAATTTTTTTCTAAATTGTCATCAACTGTGGTTTCTTCAAACACTATCTGGGTGACTAATTCATTTTCACTGAGGGTCACATGACATTAGGTTCTGTTCAAAGGACCATTAACTGTATGACAGTAGACACAGCATGTAATGAAATGCACTATAAAATGAATGTAACAAACATCTTAACAAATAACCATTTATGTATTTAAGTATTTATTTCTGAAGTTATTCAAGTCAAAATTATTACATATGCATTTGCAGAAGTAAAAATGTATGTTTGCTTATTGCTGTTATTATGACATAAATATCATTTTGATTTCTCAGATTAAGAAACTCAAATTGCTCCATTAATCAACGATCAAACTATTCAAAAACAAATAAAAATATCACTAAACACCAGTTATCACAAAAGCATTGTTCCAATGACGTTCCAGCCAATAACTGTAAACCACTAAGAACACATAGGATTCTAGGTTTCCAGTGACACTCACTCTCTCCACAACTGCCACTCGTCCCAATCAGCCACCATTCCACACCTGCACCTGATTTGGCAGACTTCTCTGCAGAGCACTTAAGCTTCGGCCAGACGTTCTTCTGATGCTGGGACATTATGGTGCCTCATGGTAAATAATGGACGGCCAGTAAACTAGTTTCTAAATTGTTTCATTAAACTGTTTTTTGAAATATTCTCCAGCGACTTCCAAGTCATGTTCCCTCGAATTTTCAGACCTTCTCGTTCCTTGTGACTTTACTTTGACATCGTCTTGTCTCTTCAACCATCCAAACATCACTCTGGACAACCTGTTCCTCTCCCACAGTACTCACCTCTTCTGGGTCACCTCTCTCCCCGTGGAAACCTAAGGCCTCTCTTCTCTCTCCTCTCCAGCTCCATTTACAAACACAAACAACAGTAAGAAAAGCATCAGCAAACAAGAGTTATTATTCCATCAAACGAGAAAGAATCTCAGTATTCACCTTGCTCTTTTTTCCCTTTCAGCCTGAGCATCATCTATACCTGTAAATAAAACATTTACCTTTTGGATGCCTGATTCTTCCTCAGTCTGCTAACTTGGGGTCCACATTAACTGAAATCATGTTACATGTTTGACAAATATATCATTTTTTGAAAATCATAGCTGGATATATTCATTCGTACTCATCTGTTCACACTGACTCATGTTCCTGCTGCTGTTGTTCGGCCTATTGTTATTGCACTATTAGTGCTTAGTGTATTCTTAGTTTAGCATATTTCTTAGTTTATAGTTTAGATCCTTTACTGTTTCTTTTTACACTTTATATTTTGCTATTGTTGGATGTAACTGGGACCCTGTGTACACAATTTTGTTCCACCTCATGTACCACATGTGAAGCGAATGGTAATAAAACCTACTTGAAGTTGAACTTAAACTTGAACATACACTAGCTAGCATTTTATTGTGTTTTTTTTTTCATTATTTCTGTATAAATATTTACTGTGTATTCTACATTTTGCTGGTATATGTATTTGCTTTAGCTTAATACTAACCATTTCCTGCATTAGATGAGAATTTTTGTACTTCTCTTAAAAAAATAGCATTTTCTCGTGGGGGAAAAAAGCCTTTTCTTGCTTTTTGCTAATATTGACCTTCTTCTGTATTTTCCCTAGTATTTTGCTACTTATGGAACTTTGCAGCAGATGGGTTTAGCTAATATTTTGCTTCTTTTGACTTGTAGCTAGCATTTATTTGCACCCTGCAGATGTTGGATGATGTGTATCATGGTGCACTAAGATTCAAAACTGGCTGTGATTATCGTACCCATCACTGCACCCTGTATTCACTGGTTAACTGGACATCATTAACTTCACGCACTCTCCCACTGGTACATTTTCATCTTTAAATCACTTCTTGGTCTGCTGCCTTCGTACATCTCCTCCTACATGTCTACAAATGAGTGCAGCTACAGCGTGCGCTCTCAGGACATTATTACCTGCAGTGTTCCCTCAGTGCGGACTGAACTAGGCAAAAAGGTCTTCTCCTACTCCGCTCCTGTTTCCTGGAATATCTTGCAAAAAGATCTGAAGCTCTCGACCTTGACCTCTCTAACTGGCTTAAGAATCTGTTGGACTCCTGGCAGGGACCAATGCAGACATGTTCCTGTTTTTAATTTTCTACATTTGCCTTATAATCTAGCTGTTTTTGTTACTTTTTGCCATCCTATTTGTAAAAAAAAAAAAAAAAAAAATCTGTATGCCTTTTTATAACTGTCTATTGTTGTTGCTGTTGTCCATTGTTGTCATCATTCTTTGTTGAAATCAGGCCTCTCTTGTAAATGAGTCCTCGAGGCTCAATGGGATTAACCTGTCTAAATAAAGGTTGAATGAATTTTAAAAAAAAGTACTAAAATAATTAGGCAATAAGAAATCATAATGCATTTTCACAGGAAATGCAAATTCTCTAGTTATTTATTTATTTAAATTATATACAGTGTAGAGGTGTCATGGCACATTGTAACATACTGTCTTAGTTAGTTCCTCTTACTCAGAGTCTCTAGGGTAAACATTTAGCCAAGTGTTTAAAGAAAGGAATGAAGCAAAGAAGGTAGAAATTACAGCAACAGAAGAGAAAGCTTACCAAATTTATTTATAATAAACTTCTAGAAATGTACATAAAAAAATACACCAAATGTTCAGACCAAAATAAAAACAAACAGAAAATACATTGGTAATAAAGGACAATTTTCACTTCACAGACATTTTCTCAAGAAATAATGTAAAGCTTCACAGTCCATTTCACAGAGCCTTGCTTTTGACAGTGAAACCCAAAACTGTGCATAACCTAATCCACCTACAACCCCCTAAGTCTCATCCTAACTCTCAACCCACCATCTAAGCAAATAAAAATGTCCTCACTCTCTTAAAATATCCTTACTTTCAAGGTCTAAAACTCACATTTGTGAGCAGAAAGTAAAAAAGAAAGCATGCACAGATGAGAGATAACAGACGGACACATTAGAGCCTTATAAGGTCACGTTATATTATTTTTATTCTGCTGGTGGCTGGACAAAAATCTTGGCGTGCTTAGAGAGTTTGGGTCAGCAGAATACATCAGAAATGTTTCTTCCAACTGTTTTTTGTGGTTGATATGTGTGTGTTTGAACTTATAATTGGGGATTGTCTTCAAAAATATTTTTAATGTAAACTGTCACATAATGAAATATTACATTTAATATTATTATCAGAGATTCAAAGATTCCTAATGGGAAATATCCACACTAGGTTATGTGACTTGTAGAGCACTTTTAATGGAATGATTATTAACATGTCCAAAAGTTCTCTTTTCCAAGCTATCACTGTGAACAAACTGACCTTATTTTACATTTAACAGGTATTGTGCTAAAAATAACTATAACTTTGGAGGTAAACTGGTCATTTTCTTTGTCAAGTGGTTCAAGTTCCCGGTTTAAATGAGAAAGCTTGAAGTTTGTGCACCGAACAAGCTTGGGACATTATTAAAACTTGAGTAATTTTCAAAACATTATCTTGAAATTCCTAATCCTGAATTAACAGAAGTTAACTTTTTTAAGTGTGTGATTGCAGCTTTAATTTGCCTTAGGCTTTTGAAATGTTTCATCGTGGTTTACTGTCAAAGTGGTTCATTTTGGTCTACCAGGTCCTCCTGATTCTTCATGAGACATGCACTTCAGTCACTGTGAGTCAATCAGCCTCAGTCACTTCAACTGGGAGTCGAGTTTCCCAATGTAAGTATGGAAGCTTAGGAGACAGTTTCATAATTTTGACAGCTTAGAGCTCAGCTGTAGAGGATTTATTAAATCTGGAATCATAAAAAGCATATTTAATGCCTTACTTTGAAACCTTTCTAACTTTCTCTTTTCTCATTTTACTCTTGGAGAGAGGGATACAATCTGATTTCGATATGCATGAACAATAACATTTTTTTTTTACACACACACACACACACACACACACACACACACACACACACATATATATATATAAATATATATATATATATTTATATACATATACATATACATATACAAATATACATATATATATACATATTATACATATATATATACATATTATACATATATATATACATATTATACATATATATATACATATTATACATA